AATTAGATTTCCTTATACAAGATGCTACATTGCATCATTTCGTTTCATACATCATCATCTTATTTCGTCGCATTTTCATCATCTTCTATCATGTTTTCAGAACCATAAATAGGTTTACTTTCTAACTGTCAGATTGTAAGATTTTACTTTTCTGTGTTTTTCTTTATCTCAATATTTTCTAAATAAACGTTTCATCTAAAACCATATCAAATTGGGTGATACACAATCAAGCAATCTCTGATGAGAGCAAAGCCTTATAACTATAGAGAATAGAGTCACATAACATTCGTGCAAACCAAATTTCAATTAAATAAAATTGTAGATTTTGAAAATCACTTGCCGGTGGTAAATATGAACGAAATTCCATAAAATCTAGAGGTGTTATTGTTTCTAAAATGCCCATTTGATCAACTAATAAACGCCATATTTGAACACAATGGTTTAAACGATTAACAATAACAAACATATGAGATTCATCCACTTTTTCTTCGTCAAATATGTTGCGAATAGAATCAATTTCATAAATAATTTGTCTAAACCACAATTCAAATGTTAGATGTATTATGATAAATAAATGTTCATCATATACAGGTGTTTTGTTATTATCATGTTTAGCACTCACGTCAGTAATGTTTGTGCATCTAATATTATTTGCAATTGTAAATAATTACTGTATGCCATTAACTCATCACTGGATGGTAAACGTTTCAATTCGGGTTTTGTTGGTCGATTAGCATAGCCAGTCTATGGTAATATTTCAGTTAACACATCATTGGTTGCTGTTGTGTCATTAACAATTAAGTTCGCGAAGATGTGGAATTCGACTCATTTGTCGGCGAAGATGGTTTATGTTCGAGAAAACGTGTATATGGACAAGTCATGGCTGCTTTTAACTTTATTATAAAGGGTTATTAAAGTTGTTATGTGACTCCCCATGTCGCACTTTTTTTCGTAATACCGCCGGTTACCGACCGGTCTATAGATTACCGCTGGTTAACCGTACCGTTCGTATTACCAACCGGTTTAGCGACGGTTTTTTCTTCTACCAACGGTTACCGCACGGTAGTTTTCAGACCACCGTACAGGAAAACACCGTCGGTAAACCGTTTTGACACAATCGCCTTTTTGTTTTGCAGTTGTCAGTCTATATAAGAAACGCAGAAAAGTCAAAAAAACTTTGATTTTTTTTCAGATTAAACTTTCTCTTTCAGGTTATAGAGACTCGTCGAGATTTGCATTTTGACTTGAGTCGAGCTTTTCCCGTTCGGAAACCTCATTGCGCTGCATGCGCACTGCAAAAAGAAGTAAGCTGAGAACTAGATTCGAACTCCTGTACTGTTTGCTCACACTGACAAAATACCGGTTGATACCGCCGATACAACCGACCGGTATACCACGCGGTTCGGTAGACCGTGCGATAATTTCACATGTCCATTAGGTTAACCTTCCATTCTACTCGACGGTGACCGCTGCGGTAACCGACGGTATTTTAGCGGTTTTGATGACATGGGTCTATTCACTATAGTTATAAAACTTTGCTCTTACCAAAGATTGCTTGATTTATATCACCAAATTTTATATGGTTTTAAATGAACGTTTATTTAGAAAATATCGAGATAAAGAAAAACACAGAAAAGTAAAATCTTACAATCTGTTTTACAATCCGTCACATTTTCATCATCTTCTATCATGTTTTCAGAACTGTGAATAGGTTTACTTCTTAACTTACGAGGGAACATTCCCACTCCGATTTTGTTCAAATCTGGCAATTTATATGTAATCAAGGGCGTTGATTACGAATATGATAGCCGTTTGTGCCCATAGATCTTTTCTGACGTTTCTCTGGAGTACCGGTTTTCGAGAAATCCCCTGAAACCCCAGCAATGTTTTACCAACATGTTGGGATTGTAGCCTGAAACTTTTACATCAGAATGAGACGTTTTTCCAGCTCTACGCGATCTTTCTTTGCAAAGTTACAGAATTTACAAGAGAAGCCATAAATGTTCATTGTCAGCTCAGAGATATAGAAAGAAACGGAAAATTAATTTAGGGCTTCTCTTGTAAATTCTGTAACTTTGCAAAGAAAGATCGTGTGGAGCTGGGAAAACGTCTCATTCTGATGTAAAAGTTTCAGGCTACAATCCCAACATGTTGGTAAAACATTGCTGGGGTTTCAGGGGATTTCTCGAAAACCAGTACTCCAGAGAAACGCCAGAAAAGATCTATGGGCACAAACGGCTATCATATTCGTAATCAGCGCCCTTGATTACATATAAATTGCCAGGTTTGAACAAAATCGGAGCGCCTCACTTGTGAATGTTCTCTCGTAAGTTAAAAAGTAAACCTATTCATAGTTCTGAAAACATGATAGAAGATGATGAAAATGTGACGAAATAAGGTGATGATGTATGAAACGAAATGATGCAATGTAGCATCTTGTGTAAGTAATCTAATTTAGTTGCTTATGTAAGGGATCTCCTTACATAACAGATTCTGAAAAGTAGACACTTCAGGTTATCTTTCCAAGTGCTTATCTTACAAGCCATTTTTTTTGACCGAGAATCTTCATTTCTGAGGGCTGGAGTCCTTAAAGTAGAGTTTAATGTTTATATTTTTATGCTGAATGAAACTGTGTGCCACACAACTGTCATTTACTCAGCGAACACTTCCAGATAATACTGCTGAAAAAGCAATATTCATTGATAATATTCTGTATTTTCCCCGCAAATCAAATTAGATGGCTGAATGTATCATTAATGAAAAACGTCTCCTTTACTGATGAATTATATCTAACAACGAACCCTTTGAACTTCTGGTTAGCTTTTTTGAGAACTAGCTTTACGAAAAATATCGAGCTTTTACAATGTTTTTCTGCCACAGTAAATCCATTATGTGCATCCTTAGATGGCAAAGTTTATTCTGTACTGAATATCGTTGACCTATGCAATCAAAACATGCACATAAAGCGAAAGCTTAGAATGGATTGAGAATAAGGAAAATCAATTCTCATATAGTTTCTTCAGATAGCCAAGTACAATGCTTTGTGATTCCTGACTATCTGTGATGTTTATTTCAGGTGACTAATAAATATAGATTAAACTAAAGTTTCATATCTAACGAGGGAACATTGCCAGGTGACATCTTCACTTTTCCTTTTGACATACCTGATTATCAGTGACTTTTTATGCAGATCACGAACCCGATACCCATTGCAAGCCAAGAAAGTAACGGTAACTTTACGGGCCGAGCCCCATAAAAAATGGGACTGTTTTGTTTTCGCTATAACTCCGTCAGTTTTTATTCGATTCGGCCAAATTTTTCTTGAAGGATTTGCCGTTCAATTCTCTACAAGAATATGTCAAAACTTTTGTTGTAAAACATAAAGAAGAAAAATTATATAAAGAATACTGAGAAGCTCCAACATGTCCAACTTTCTTATACAAAAAATACTCTTTTTGGTTCCATTCGTTGAATTTTTGAATCTAGAAAAGAAACAAGTAGCCATTTAGTAGCGCTTGAAAAGTTCTATCGTTCAGCTATGTTAGAAAAATTTTTGCATCAATACCTGTTGCGTAAGTGAATTATTTCTTTTTTCAGATTTTGCAAAAATCACGTTCTTGAATTAGCGACTTTGGGATTCTCAGAAAATTTGCATGAGTCGATTAAGAATTCATCTTTCCAGCTTGGTTTTCTTTTAATTTGAAGAGAAATGAATGGCGCATTAGACTAAAACTTTAAAGTTTGAATATAGTCCTTCATTCGGGTGTAATGCGTAAAATAAGCAAAGTTTTATGTCATTCCGGCTCAGTTTTAATAAAGGCGTGTTTGCCTCAGAACACTTGGTTGAAACGGACTTCATTGTAGATCATGCCAAAGAGCGCATTTATTTGTACTCGAAAAACTTACTCTGTCGTGTTATCATATTTGCGAAAGAGATAAAAAGAAGGCAAACCTGTTCAGGAAAACCAAGAACAATGACTTTAGAAAGTTGGATATGTTGGAACTTCTCAGTATTCTTTATATAATTTTTCTTCTTTATGTTTTACAACAAAAGTTTTGACATATTCTTGTAGAGAATTGAATGGCAAATCTTTCAAAAAAAAATTTGGTCCGATAGAATAAAAACTGACGAAGTTATAGTTAAAACAAAAACAAAGTTCCACTCTTTATGGGACATTCGTTAATAGCGACTGCAGTCGCTATTACTTTCTTGGATGGATCTCTAAACTCTGGATCTTCAGAGACTCAGTATGAACTTCGAAATGAACCACTTCTGATGACAACTAGTAGAGTATATCGAGCTATCTATCCCTGTAAGTCCTTATACTTAAAGAGTGAGTTCTGGGATAGAAAAATTTCACTCTTTATTTTTCCATGAATACTTAGATTTTAATATTTCGTACAGCAAAAATTTTTATATAAGTAATAGATTTGAAAACAATTTTGATGTATTAAGTATGTATGTATATAAAAATGTATTAAGTACTCGAGTGATGTCTTTTTTTAAGGTGTATTACGTCGATTTCTCGTTTGGCCTTCATCGATGATTTGGCCACAAAATTTGCCGGTAATTGCTCTATTACGTACTATACATGAAAAGGAGCAATCAACCAGCATTCGATGGCTAAACTTATCACGTATGCAGTTTTTTCTGTTAGCAACCATTAGTCAAATAATATATTATTGGTTTCCTGCTTACATTTTTCCTTTACTGATGACTTTCAATTGGATGTGCATGATCAATCCAGACAATGTTATTATCGCTCAGTTGACTGCTTATTATGGACTTGGTATGGGTACTCTAGTGTTCGAATGGAACAGCATTACACAAGTTATTGGATCACCGATACTAGTACCATATTGGGCTCTGATTAATTTCTTTGTAGGATTTCTTTTTTTTGCTTGGTTTTTTATACCAATTATTTACTATTCAAATTTATGGAATTTTATAAATTTGCCCATTACGGGATTTCCAAAGATAGAGCAGCTTGGTTTTACGGTTTTTTTTACAGCCGATGGCAAGGTATTTTTGCCTAACCTTTTACAATATCTTACCAATAGTACCTATGCCAAGGCTATACCACCAGTTTTATATGATGCTACAACAGCTACCGCAAGTTATTTAATATTTGCCTCATTAGCTTCGCTCGGTGTTCACACAATACTGTATCATGGCAAAGAAATACTTGATTATTTTCGTACTTCACTGCAAAAACGTGAAAATGACATTCATTGCACATTGATGTCAAAATATACGGAGGCACCCGAGTGGTGGTATATATTATTGTTCGTCATTTCATTTGTTCTTTCAGCTTTAGTTTGCCATTTTGGAGAGTTTATGCCATGGTATTATTTATTTGTGGCTATTCCATTCACGTTTGTATGTTTATTACCCATTGGTATTGTTCAAGCAACAACAACTGTTAATATTTTGCCCATTTTTATTGCAAGAATACTAGGTGGTGTATTATTTGAGGGCCGCTTTTACCCAAGTGGTATCATGACATTTATGGTTTATGCTTATCAAATGCAAACAAGATCATTATCATTAATTCTTAATTTGAAATTTGCACATTTTCTGAAAATTTCTCCACGTACTCTGTTCATGACTCAATTATCAATTACCATTATGTCTGTTATCATAAGATATCTTATAACCAATTATATATTAATAATTATTCCCGGTTTCTGTGATATTAGTAGTATTGGGACAGATTGGCCATGTACAAGTCTAGATCTCCAAACAGTATTTTTTGCAATGATAGGTTAGTCAAGCTGTCTTGTATTTTAGTAGATCGTTGTTTGTCACCGAAATCGTACTAACATAAGTAATGCGGTGGGCGTTGTTGCAGATGAATGCAATTGATATCCTAATGTTGTGCAGAATGCGTTTGCCCCAAACTGAAGAAGTAAAAGTGATTTATGTAATTTGTTACGGAAATCAGAGCAAAACACGATTTTATACGTCTGCAAGTTAGGG